CCCAATGCCTCATGTCTTCCAGGGGCTCCCTGAAGGCCTGAGATGGTGATCTGGCTCTTAGGAGTTGGACGGGAGGTGTCTCAACAGCTCCCTTGCTGTGTACAACCAGGCTTCTGGGACTGCTGGTCCCTGGGGGATTCCGGCTTTCTGAGCTTCTCAAAGGCTCCATCTCTGCAGAGCAGGAGCTCGTGGGAGCCTGATGCTAACTCATTCAGGACTCATGGTGCTGAGCATCTCTGGGCATAGGAATGGAGGCACTGCAGCGTGGCTCAGCTCAGAGCCTTCTGTACTGACTTGCACTAGGGTCTCTGGTCCCAGCCCCCATTCCCTGCAGCAAATCCACCCCTTTTTCTCTTCCCAGAGTTAAATAAATCTTCCTTTTTGTGGATGGAGGACTGGAGTCCCCAGGCAAACAGCAGCACTTTGAATTCAGGACTCTGCTTCAAGAATGGAGGTGAAACCCTTCAGCATATTGGCTGAGAGTTAATAGTCTGGGGATGACTAGAAGCCAGGAAAGCAAAACCTCCTCCCACATGCAACCCAGTAGGAGATGGCAAGCGAGGGGCTGTGTTGCTGGCAAAACTGCAGCAGTCTTGCAATGAATAAATAAATGCATGCAACCACTGGCTTCGGGGCATGGAAATGAGTCACAGCTAAACTGAGTCAGACTGTCTCTCTCTGGCACTGTGGTTGCAGCAAGCAAAACCATTTAGGTCAAGCAGGGGCTAAGCTAGGGCCAGGGCAGGTGCTGAGGAACTAAAGGGACAGAGTCAGCAAATAGAGTCTTCCGGACTCCATGTGCTAGTGCTGGATGGGACAGTCTGGTCCATGCTGCAATTACCCTGCACACCAGGGCAGCACAGCCTTGGCCCTGAACAACACTCTGTTCTGTGACCCGGGCATCCTCCCCACCTGGCTGCTGGCCCTGCATGGCAGAACGGGACTGTGCCCAGCTCAGGGCAAGGAGAGGTATGTTTGCTCTCAGGTCCTCTACATGGGGTTTTTTGGACTGTTTTCTCTGGGTGAAGAACTCAGGGCAGTAGAGATTTACTGGCCTGGTTTGCAAACAGCATGTTGTGTAAATGTAGGATATTTTTTACTGCTTGGTCTGCTGAACTGACTTTAAAATTCCTTATCCTGCTCGTGGTGTGGGGTGAATTACCGCTGCTGAGATGGGCTCTGCACCTCTGGTCTGTCCAGGGGTTTTGGAGCTACTGGTGTCACAGCAGTTCTCTGTAGCTTCCAGAAAGCAGATGGAGGGTCCTGATACACACAGAATAGATCCATACTGGAGAGGAGACAAAAGCAGAGAAGGGAGGAAGTAGGGCAGGCAGTGCCCTGTGGCTCGCTGGTGCTGCAGACTGAATGAAGAATGTTATTTTGCATCATGGGGGAGCCTAGAGCCTGCCAGTCTCCCCACATGTCCCAGGTTTGCTGCAGGGAAACACCTCAGTCCTGCTCCTCTGGCAGCTAGGGTCTCAGGCTGTCCCTGGCATAGGATGTCCCACAGACAAACAGCAGAAGGAACCTTCAGTTTTAAGGCACTTTATCCTAGTCTGTTAGCCCTGAAGGGTCTTTATCCAGGGTCGAATAAGAAAAGGTGGATTGTTCTCTGCATTTGCCTCTGAGGGATACGCTCCTGAAAGCCTCCTTGTTATCTACATCAGAAGGGCTGCAGGGAGAGGGAGGACAGGTTTGCTCTGGCAGTTTGCAGGGTAGGAATCTGGTTTGAAGGACAAACATTTTGCAGAAGGGCACTTCCCTAAAGTGGGCAGTTTAACAAGGGAATTTTCCTCCTTGGCCTCCATTGTTTCTTTGTACTTTCTCATGTAAACATGTGGCCATTTGTCCCCTCCTCCCGTGGGTTTTACAGGTACAGCTTCCCATCACATTGACCTTCTGCCAGCCTGGCCACCTTCTCAGCCAGTGCACCCTGCTCCTGAGTTTAGAGCAAATACTCCCAATGCCTTGGCATTCCTCATCGGGCAATAACTGAGACTCGAGCGGGGGGACTTCACCCTGGCCTTCCGTCTGGAGCAGACGACACCTGAGAGGCGTCCCAGCTCAGGGGAGATGCTGGTCACAGCCCGCTGCCATCCAGGAGAGCTCAAAGGGTCTCTCTGGGGGTCGCAGTTTATAGGGTCCAAGATAACTGACTTCTGTCAAATACTGTCTGATGCCTTCCGGCAGCTGCACAAGAATTTGAATAACACGCAACCCTGTTCTTGTTCCACCTGATCCCATCCCAGGCACAGGTGTGTCAGGCCATCAGGAGATGATGGGCCAGTATAACCCTTTCCAAGCAACTGGGAAGGGCAGGAGCCAGGCTCACCAAGGTTGTCAGTCCTTATCTCCACAGATTGGAGTCTGGCTCGGGGGGGTGTGGATGGAATCACACCTGGCACCAAGCAGCCCAACAAGGAGGGCAGGGAGGGGTAAGAATTGCACCACCACACAGAGTCATTAGGGTTAGGGTCAGGGTTTAGGGTTAGGGTTGTTAGCGTTAGGGTTAGGGGTTAGGTTTAGGATTAGGGTCATTAGGGTTAGGGGTTTTTTCCTCCTACAGAATTGTCTGAAATATTAATAGCTAAAACAGTACAGCTGTGATTAATACCTGGCTCTTATTTGTTACAAACAATGCTAACAAGCTTGTCTTGCTTCACAGATACGCTTTTGTTAGCCAGATTTTTCAACAGAGGTTCCATTATCCTCCTCAACTAGCATCAGATCCCCCGGGGCCACTAGCACAAGGACTGCTCCCCTGCATCAATCCTTTGCACTTTTTGCTTCTCTGCTCTTTTGGCATCCTGTCCTCTCCAAATTGTGCTGGGGATGGGATCAAAGGATCTCTCCTTTCACTCCTGCCTTTCTCTGATAATACTACTGCTTTAAGTGAACTCTCTACCATTTAAGTAGGCAAGTTAAATAAGCAGGATGGCTGCTGGCTTTGACCAAGTGAGCCCTCCAGCTCTCAGCTGCAAGACAGGGCTGGGCCCTCTCTCAGCAGCTCTTACCCACAGCAGCTCCCCGTCTCCCTCCACCTCTGTTCACAGTGACCTTCCCAATGGCTCTGCAGAACAAAGCTGGGCGTTCCATGTTGCTTCATTCAACCTCCCAAGGCACTGCCAGTCCTGGCACTGAAGCAGGCAGAGGTCCTGTGTACATCCCTGCAGCCTTCGCTGCCTCACGGGCACTGTGCACGGACACAAAAAGCCATGTTACAGGGCCAAAAGTCAATTCAGAAAATATAAGACTGATGGTTGTCTGAATTCATCGAGGCCTCCATGTCCCACACACACTCCCTCATCATCAGAAGCAATGTCAGGATGATTTATTAACTTGGTCATTGTTGGGGCTACAATGGACTATAAATAACAGCCTAGGGAGTGGCAGAACTTGGTTCAGTCCTAGCTGCTGTTTTTCACTTTGTTGATCCTTTTGTAATGCTGTCCCTTTTGCTCTGTGCTGTTTCATAATTTCAGATATGATAGGAAAATTATCAATTCCCACTCCCCACACTGCAAAAGCTGGTGCTGAACCCAGAGTCCTCCCGTGACCACTCTGTTTCAAGCACAGAAAACAGAACAGTGGCTGGCACCACTCCTCTTCAATATAACCTGATGATTTATTTCTCTGTGTGACAGGAAGGCAGAACTGGGTCTTCCTCCTCAGTTCCTACTGAACACAACACAGCACATTTCTGGTCTTGCTGTCATTATGCTGCTCTCGACATTTATGTGCACTAAAGCTGGATGTCCTGCTCCTAGAGTACGTCTCCTGGGATCAGCTTTGACCCACCATTACATGAACAGTTCTCCTTCAAACAATTTCATCACTCAGTAACTAAATTACAGCACAGAGATGCTTAATGTATGTGAGTTAATTCTCTTGTATAACCCTCCTTCCCTAACCTGTGAATTTGGAGGCTGATTCCTCCAGAGACTTCCCTACATGGAGCTCACACACACCTGAAAAGATCAAGACCCCTCTAAGCTGGGTAAGGGAGATAATACACTGTAATTTCTTGGGATGTAGGCAATTACAACTCCAGCTCTGATACTGCCAACTCCCTTCATCCAAGCCACTACCCAGTCAAGCAATTTATTTCCATCTCCCCAGATCTGCTGCCATTTAAAGTGGAACAATCAGAATAAAGGATATGAATACATCGCCAACATGCAACACAGCAATAAATGCCCAAGCTGTTGCGGGACTTTGTCAGGGCTATGTTGCATTGCAGTAAAAGAGCAGGAATTTGGACTAGTTTTTTCTGGCCTGGCACCTGACTTCATGCTAATAATAGCAATGGCTTGTGCTATATGGATGTAACCTTTTGTTTGCTTGGGTTTTGTCAACAACATCAACAGCTAAATTACCCTTCTGATAAAGACACCACCATATGTTTTGTGACTCACTGAAGACACCAAATGCTTCATGAATCATGAGCAGCTATCATCCAGTATGATTTACATCGCTTTAGTAAACTGGAATGACACATCACACCAGTGAACCACAGACCAGCAGGAGTGTGCAGATAAGCTGCAAACCCTCCCTGGCCAGAGCCCACACTGCAAAGAGCTGACTGGTTCCACATCTGGGGAAAAGGGGCAACAGTGTGTCACCAGTGTGTTCCCTTCATCTGATGCACTGAGCACTCTCTATTTGCATGACACTGGAATGAACCTTCAGCCAAAGCCATTACCTTTAAGAGGGAAAGAAAAACCAATGCTGGAGTTCCCACGGCAGAGTTTTTGCTCTGCCAAAGAGGGAAGGTTGGAACATCCCTCATCTCCAGCCTTTTCTTACGATTCACTTTTAGAAGTTCATCCAGAAAGTTTGAGCAAATATGAATAAAGGTAGGAGACAGCACAGAATTGGCCCCTCATAAAGCTGTCACAGTTTAAAAGAAAGCAGTCAAAGTATTTTTTTGGAACTGTAAAAACTACTTTCTAGCAGAACTGGTAGCTACAGATGGATACTTTACCCTCAGCCTGTAGTAGAGCACAGCCAAGGTTAACTATAATATTAGGCGAGCTTCATTAAACCTCTCTAAATGGTGCTGTTTGCCACCATTATTCAAATGCTTAATTTCCTTGTGAAGCAAAGAGATTATTACCCCAGCTATCACTTTCCTCATTATATGCATTAAGTTATTTTTCATGACCATACTTACTTACTTTCAGGACATTGCTCATGTGATAAAGAATCACACACAGTACTATCACTTGTGCCTCTGGACAGACAGGTTGATCTTACGGCTCTTAACCACGAGTTGTACTGTAACTGTTCCCTAACTGGTTTTACATGCATTCCTCTTCCAGCACTTAGCTTTCACAGTACGCCTACAATTTCATGAATCTTCAGAATCATCTGGTTAGTGTTCATTTAAATTCATCTCATAGCCTCATCTTTTGCAAGAACCTATGCTGAACAGTGCTGCATCTCCTCATCTGCAAATGACAGCAGGAACCTGCAGCCCTGCTGACTGATGCATAGCAAGTGCTGCTTTTGTCTACAAGGCCTTCCCACTGTGGGATTCTGAAGGTGAAAATACCAAGTAACGATCATAGCAGCAGTAACATGAGCTGACTGCTCCCTCCAGAAAGACGAGAAAGTTTGATCCTGTTCCTACAGAACTCAGCGTTTTGTGGCTGGACAGGACATACATTTTGCCAGGCCATCTCCTCTCTGGAAAGCTGCTTTATTTAACATGGCACAGCTGTAAATCTCACATCAGCTTGGTGGATCATGTTTGCAAAACAGGAATATCTTGAGAAAAAGCAGACAACAAATTCTGAGAACCGAAATTGCTAGACTGCTGCAAGAATTTTTGTGAAACATCTGTGTTTGTCCTTACGTAACAGATAACCAACATCTAGATGTAGGAGAAACAGTCAGCAGGGTTGAAGTAATCCACTGATCTGATAATGCAGGAGTTTCTGACCAACTGAGCTTAAGCTCATTTCACTTCTCAGAGATCGTTTCTTCTCCTTTATAAACGACAATGTTCTGGTCTGTTTCGTACACTTTGACTTTATAAAGAGTCCCCGTGGGCAGCAGCTTCTTGAGGTTTTCCCAGATGAACACTGCGATGTTCTCTGTGGTGCTAAGAGTGAAACACAAGAAGATTCAGAACCGACAGCAAGGATATTTGAAGGAGCTGTACACAGAATGGACAGGCAGGATGCTAAAGGCCACCGGGAGCCATGTGGGCAGCTTTCACATAGTGACCCCCTGAATGTAAGTGAGGCTTGAGCCACTGCCAGCAAACATGGATGAAACAAGGTCTAATTAACAGGTCACATCTGCCTCCCCAAGCTGTCCACAGAGCAGGTTCATGTGACAAGTGCTAGTCTGCAAAAGGCTCCTCAGATGCGAGGAAGGAAGTGGTGCCTTCCTTGGTGTGTGGGACAGCAGGTGCCCCAGCAGGCCTGCATCCGCCTGGCCCAGTGAGGCAGCTGCAGGGCAGGAGGGCACCCAGCACCCCACATGCATGGGTGCATGTCACAGGTGTGTTACACACACAGGTATCAAGGCTGCTGTTTCAGATGTAGGACTAAGCCTCGAAGAGTGTTCCTTGACCCTGCAACCAATGCCACGAGGAGTCCCCATCACCCACCTCACCACCTCAGCAAAGTAGGGCACATCCTTATCCAAGTTTTTGTGGTCAAGGGGTTCCAGGATCGCCTCCTGCAGAGAAAACAGTGATGGATCTTGTCCCGGTTGGTCAGCGGACTTGAAGTTCAGATCACCACATGCATGGGACTGGAGTAAGGCAACGGAGTGTAAAGAAAGGATAAAAGCCCTACATCTACCTGTTAACTTCCTAGAGAGAGACATGGTATTGCCTCACACCACAGTGCTAAAGCATTTTAGTCTTAAATCATTCCTTAATTTCTTCTTTATTTCCTACCATCACCAACTCACCATGTCTCCACCCTGGTACTAGACAAATTGCTAAGCTCCAACCAGTTGTCCCAGGGGATGTGTAGGAAAATAGTGCTATTACCTGCATATACTCTTTCAGGTCTGTCAGGTTTATAACCATTCCCGAGACTGGGTCAATCTGCAGGGAAAAAAAAAGGGATATTAGTAGCCTAGCTATGTCCTGATTACCAAGGCTGCCATGAGCCTGTACAAATCAGACTGTGAATATCTATGCACTCAGGACATCTGAGTCACAAGAAACTTATCTTTCCACCTTCACACACTGAATACTCCTGTGATGTTCCTAAAGGCTAAATACAGAGTACAAATAACTCCAGTGGTTCCACTCTCTCATAAAAGCTGACACCACGGAGGAAAAGCTCACTGAAACACTCAGTCTTCAAGCAACAATCTAGCCAGGAAAACAGACATTAATCTGCTGGGTTGAACAATCAGGGACAAAACAAGAGACCAGCCTGAGCCCAGGGCATTCTCCCATCTGGAGAAGGCACAGCCACAGGAACAAAATCAGATTGTGTAGTTCACAACGTATTTGGGGAATAGAGAAGAGCCTTTAAACTTTATTTTCAGTTCTGAATAGAAACCCCCTTTCCTATGAACTGGAAATCCTCAAAAAAATTGTTTGGAAAACATCAAACCCAAAGTTCTATCTAAACAACTCACTCTGCAGAATACACAGAATGGTGACAGAATGAAGGGTGAAAAACAACTGCAAAAGCACAATTTCCTTTTATATTTGCAGTAAAATACCTTGATAAAACAGCAGAATCAGTTACTGTAAGTGCTAAGCCTCCCCATGGCTCACTAGAGAAGTGAGGTGCCCCACAGATCTGACCAGAGCTATTCTGCAGTGAGGCTCTAGCAGGCTGCAGTTACCTGCCCAGAGGATGATTACAAGCCTTGGACTTAAATATGGCCACTTACAAATCCTTGTTCAAGGCAAGATGAATAGGACAGTGATTACAGAAAACCTCCTTCTATAGTGATGTGTACAGAGTTTCCACAAACACCCTGGGATACCTAGCAATTGAGCTAGCACTTCAGTACTGTGGAAGATGGGGGCCCATCTCTCCTGCCCCTAAGGAATGGAAAAAAAATGTTGATCGCACTTACCTCTCCATGAACAGTGACTATAACTGAAAAAAAGAAAATATCAGGTCACGATAACACCATAACCCTAACAACAAAGTACACTACTGATTGGGACAGACAACCCACTCATCACTAATCCACAAGGACTGGAACTATTTTCAAAAAATGGGTACCCACTCCATAAAGAATAGACTCAGGAGTCACCCAGCTCATCAAAGAAGTCATTCTCCAGGGTCTGATGCCCAGAGACACACCACTATCCCTGAAGTGCCCCTTGCAGGCAGAGACAAGACTACTCCCTGTGACAGCCTGTACCCTGCACACTCCAGGTCAGAGCCTCTAGATCAACAAAATCTTCTGGACAGCGCAGACACCATGGATACAATCACCAGACACCCAAGACCACAAGACATGGAGTCAGCTTGTAAGTCTGACATAACAGAATAGCAGAGAAAGAAAGTAAGGGATGAAGTGGCCACCAACTCTTTAAGAACTACAATTACTGCAAGGTGTCATTTCAACCCAGAAGATCTTTCAACAAAGAGACAAACACTTGGAAACATCACCCTTATAAGCTCAGCATTCCTTCCCACTAACCCCAGGAGCTGAGAACAAAATCACAGATCAGTGGGGAACTCACAAAAATAGACAGACAGTGATTTGAGCCTGGTTGTGGTTCTCTGGGGTGGAAAAGCCCCTTTGTGCTCTTTTTCTCACTCTCTCCCCCTTGTTCCCCAAGGAACAGTTTTAGTAGCATCTCCATTGCTTTTCAGCAATTGTTTTTAGAGTGGAAATGTTCTTCTGTGGAAAAGCAAGAAATGTTGTGCCTGTAAGTCAGCTTTAAAGTGAGGGACAGGTCTTCACTCCAGCAGTCTGTCAACCTGTCCTCCTGGTAAAGCTAGCAGCTCTGTAGCAGAGCTTTCAGGGTACCTACAATACGCGGTGGTACACAGGGAGCCAGCCTAGTAACTGGAGAGATTTCATTCTGTGTGCACAGGCTATAGATAGTAGGAGAAGAACTTGTGAAAACAACACTCAAATAAAGTTTATGGGCTGTTTAAATTGCATGTCTTTTGCTTAGAAAAATCTTCATTCAAAACACATTGATTCTGCAGATTATAATCAAGTTGATTTGATTCATGAAGTGACATTTTGAGGTAAGCGTTTATTATCTAACTCAACAGCTTGCAAACCCATGCCATGGTTTAACCCCCCCTGCTCTTGAGGGTTCCTTCTAATTCTAAAAAAACCCTAAACCAGTCACTAAAAGCCACACCAGACTGCTGAGACAAGACTGGCCCAGCTCTCTCATGGGTTATGCTGCAGTAAAATCATCTGCCTGGGAGCAGCCTCTGTCCGGGACTACGCCTGTAAGCCTGGAAACCAGCTCCTTACCTCTGTAGTTGTGTCCGTGGCCATTTGGATTGTTGCATTTCCCAAACAGCTTCAGGTTTTCTTCATCGCTCAGTGATTTACTGTGAGAGACAGACACAGCATTTCAGGATCCATTCAGATGTTCGTGGCTTCACTTCAGCTGCAATTGCTTTCTAGCTCTTCCATCTATTCACTCTCCCAAATTTAACCCACCAGCTTTTCCTACTGAGGAGGCACAAAGAGAACCAGAGGAATATTAGGTCCATGAAATGATGTTGACAATGGGGTGTTTTTGCAGTGGGTTTGTAGGTACAGATGCAGGTTTCATAACAAGTGCCTGATGTATACACACTGGAGCTATTCCCACGTGAATACACCAAAATCACCTGGGCTCCCAGGAAGAAGTGCCTGGAGCAAACTGTACATAAGAACCCCAGAATTGCTGAGGTTGGAAAAGCCCTTGCAGCTCCTCCAGTCCAACCATGCCCCTCACCCTGACTGCTCCCAACTCCCCCAGACCCCTCAGCCCGACTCTTCAACCCCTCCAGGGATCCCGGGAACTCCCCCCCACTGCCCTGGACAGCCCATTCCAACGCCCAGGAATGCTCCTTTCCTTCTGGAAACCCTTCTGGAAAGAAACACTTCCTAATATCCAGTCTAATAACATATTATTATTTAACAAAGCTTGGAGAGCTTCTCCCAGAAGCGCGAGGACACCTTCCCTCTCTGAATCTTCCCTCTGAAGAAATTCAAGGGCCTACTCCGAGGAGTATTTCAGGTCAAGGGATTCTTTAGGAATAGAAGTTTGGGGAAAAAGGCGACAGTTGAGGGCCGCAGTGATTTCATCACAAACTGGAAGCGTTAATTCGTCCCCCTGCGAAACAAGGCGTCAGCTCTGCCTAAAGCCAGCGGGTGTCTGGCCTCCGGGGTGGCCGCTGCGGCCTAAAGGCCGGAGCCCCGGGAAGCGCCCGACGGGCTGGGCCGGGCTCCGA